AAAGAAAAGCAAGCTAAAATTTATTATGCATAAGCGCAGAAGAAAAAGCCAAACACCTGACATTGACTTTTTATTGATTTTTGTGTAAAACACAGTCTGTGGAAAAATAGATAAGAGCATTACTAATAATTTATAATAGCCCTGTTGAGAGAGACAGCACAAACAAATTGACAAACACAACTACAAAGAGAATATTGCACATGGGAGACATACTATGCTTACTGCAAGACACTGCCAGCAAGGCATAAGAAACAATATATAATGATAGAGATCATTCAAGTCAGTTCAATGTATCACTTATTTTAAAGGCTGTAATCTAATTAATTCAAGCAGTATCATATAATGATACAATATCAGTACTGCAACATTACTTATTACATTGACAGAAAATACTACAGGATGAACAGCCAACAAATCAAAAATTTGTGTATTAGGAGATGCACTGTCTGAAAGGAACTATGCATATGCGTCCATTACCACTGCATATATGAAAATATTATACTGAAAAACTCAGTCTATCTAATTTTTATGCACCTGATACATCTAACTTTCAGAGGAAATCTTCACATTCAGAGGAAAGCTGTTTCTTAACTATATTCATACATGTGACATTTATAGCCAATTGGGAACTCATTGCCTCATATTAATTAGCAATTTCCCTTAGTGCTAGTTGGGCAGCATGTATAGCTAATAACAAACAGACACACACACACACACACCATTTTATAGGCAATTAATGCCATATAAAAATACAAAGTACTTTCTCATGTTGGCACATCATATAATGCACAATGTTGGAACAAAAAGTTAAACGTGGCACCAATTCACAGTAGCCATTACCACAAGCTAGATATGCAAAGAGCTTGCAAAACAATTACAAAATAATTAATCTCTAAATAATTCAAGAACATGGGTACTTAATTAACTTGTACATAGTTGCCACAGCTAATAGACTTGTAAGATAAAATTAAAGACACATATGGAACCTGTAATAGAACTGTATTTTAGACAATGTTAAGAAAGAATACCTTAATATCCATAGAAAACAAATCACCTGTTGCTAAATACAGAGGCCTCCATTTTCTAATACGATGTGTAGAGTTGTATGTTACATATTAAGCACTATTTTTTTTTACTGCACAGTAATGAAGACAAATGAAGTTTATTTCATTATTCATTTTTCATTAGGCAGTAAGCAATTTATATAAAGCTACACAAAAATACTTTTATAGCAGGCTATTCCTCAAAATATGTATGTATACTTCTAAGTAACTAAGACATCTAAAGGAATTTAGTCATTCGTATTTAGGCAATTGAAACTAAACTTTTAGCCTCAGCTTATTTTCCAATGAGAAGTCTTAATGTGAGTTCTTCTATAGAAATCAATGTGTTTGATCACATGAATAAAGATTCCTTATGTGTCTAAACATATGCATGATATGATACATAATGTGCAGTAAATGCAGGAGTGTCATTTTACTTTCAGACTTAACAGTGTCTTGTTAGAGTGAATCAGTCCTTAAAGAACACCACAAAACGCTAAATCACAAGTCAACTTGTTATTCCAGTTAGAAGTAAATACATGGCCTAATGGGAAACCATATGTCATTTTGTAGCACAAATATTTCACAAAATGTCTTCATATATTTGATCTAAAAATATCATCTATTTATTAATACTTCTATATTTCAACTTTTCAAGTAACTTATAAAATCAAAACACATTTTTAATTTTCTACACACACAGTTTGAAAAAAGGAACAATACATCATTATTCTCCCCAGACACTTTTGGTAGTTCAAAATTTAACAGTCTAAACATTCTTGAAGAAATTTAACAATGAAATAACTTTTTGCATAGGAAAGAGGGCCAATACATTTCTGTATATACTGTCAGTGGTTGCGTTACAGTACAATATATATGGACTTTGACAGCAATTTTCAATTAGTACAGTATCTTAGTTCTGCAACATTATCGCCATAGCATCAAACGAATTAGATAATTGTAGGGAACATGAATGTTAATTACCTATTCTACAGAAGCGTAGAATTACTATAAAATAATAGCAGAATATTTAATTTTGAAATGTAATCAGATTGTCAACGGTAATGGTTTCTGCCCTACATTTGTTTAGAGGTACAAAATTCTGCTCTCAGTTACACCATCCTATTCTATCGTGCACAAGACTGGGGTAGAATGTAGCATGGTATTTATTCTATTAAAATTCTCCAAGACTTTCTGTATTCTAAGATTTATTTAAAGGGCTGAAGCACAAATGCCTCAGCTTTCTGAAGTTTCCCTCTGCAATAATGGAATAGGAAACAGGCCAGGAAATTCAGTTACATATAATTCTGCAAGCCTTTCAAGAAATATGCAGGTTTCTATACTGGAATGTATTTACAGACAGGTAAAGTAAGTTAGAAGTTATAATTGTCACTTGTTCTTCATTTTTATGTGAAAATCTCATTCATACTAGTTTAGGCTCCTGTCTATCTCCAATAACGACATGTTTTTCACTTAATGTCTAGAATGTTTGACAAAATAGTACTGTGCTTGTGTATCACCACAAGTATCACTGAAATAGCTGCATATTGGAGGAGAGACAGTAAAATTGGTACCTTGAAACTAACTGATTTGGTTTTGGAAAAAAGAAAGAATGCAAACTTCTTTTATTAATTTGATAGATTTATTAAACTTTTTTCCCTCTTCTGTCTTTTCCTTTCTTTTCCTGTAAAAAACTGGGAAAGTTTCAAATTTCTAAAAAGTTAGATAAATTTTTGGAGGAAGTAGCTATTAGGTACAATAGTCCAGAGGCAGCACCTGTTTCAAATAAGTCCTAAATTACTGATTTCCAAAAGGTTGATGGGTTATGTCAGGAGAAGAATCACTGGACACATGCCCTCTTTTTGGAAGCATTTGCCACTTGTCAGCTATTGGAGCCAAGTCTCAAGGACAGCCTGACCAATTATAGCTGTTATTATTGTTTACTTCTTAAAAAATGGCAAAATAAAATTAAATTTCTCTTTCCAATTGCTTCCCCCTAGTAGCTTAAAAAGGAGGATAAAACTGAGTTTTCCAAGTATTTGAAAATGAAAGTTTATGTACTGAAAAAAAGTTCTTAAATTTCTGTTGACATGCATGAAGTACAGTTGAATTTTTTTTTAAAAAAATTTTTTTCCTAAACCTCTGTTTTCAAAAGAATTCACTGACATCTCATTTGATACAGAACATGTTTAAAGACATATAAAAAATGCTTTAATTCTGGAAAAAATCATGCAAATATTTTATTTTTCATCTCTAGATTTGAACATGCTTAAAATGAGAGAAAGTTCAACTGTCTCCTGATTTGCAACAAATAGAGCATATACACAGGCTTGATGTGTAAGTTTGGGGAATATGGTTACCACAATGAAAATAAAATTGGTGTAGATTTTTTGATTTTGAAATGAAATTAAGAAAAACCAACACGAACTCTTTAGACTTAGGTTGCTGTAACTGGGGGCAGAGTTTGATTCTAGATTCTTCCTGTTCTGTGGAGCTGTTGGTTTCATTACAGATATAATGAGATTTACATGACTAGTGATGTTTAAGGATAAATTCAAGCTGAAGTACTGTATATTTCTGATGTATCATATCAACAAAAAATTCTTGCAAAAAGTAATAAATAATAAGTGAAGGTTCAGCTAAGAAAGTCAGATATCCTAAAGAGTGCAAATATAGGTAAGAAAAATATAATTTCATACAAGTAAAGAAAATTAGGACCAAATACACATTTTGATTCACTGAAATAAAAGTTTTGCTAATTAAGCAGGAGTGGCCTGAAGGTATGAGTTGAGTTTGGCTATTTGTTAGAGTAGAAACTGACAAAGCATTAATAATAAATAATTGTGAACATTCTTCGGAATCCCACAGGAAATGCAAATGTTAAGTTTTAGAGATAAATCTATTTTTAAGTACAAGAATAATAATTTTGTTTCTCAAAAATTCAGGCATGTCCCAGAGACACTTGTTGTAAAAGTAAGAGTTTTATATAAAAATATAAGATTGGATTTGCACAAAAAGATATTAAGAATTTAAGACAGACTCTGGGAAATTCATATATAATAACTGAAACTCCAGTGTAGAAACATATAGAACATGAGTATTGTGATGCTTCCCTGTTGTACCAACATAGTGGAAGTTTCACAGTGAAAGTGGATTTTTATTGTCGCAGATTTCTCAGCTTTTTTTTTTTTTTAAAATATGTCCTGATATTTTGAAATCATTCTAAAATCAAAAACTAGTTGCTTGCACACATATCTGCAAGTTTTTCTATACATGTATAACACTGTTTTGAATTTTCATTATATGATGTACGGAAATAAAGAGATGTCAAATGTCTAAAATCCTATGTAATACCTTGAAAAAAATGACCGTGTTCGTACAATACCATTTGCTTACAAGATGTATAATTACACCATACCTTAAACTGATTTTGCATATTCAAATAATGGAATGGTGTAAAACCACATACAAATAAATATACTGTACATGTGCAATCATCATTACAAATTAATTTAAATTGTTTCAAAACCTGATTATTTCCTAAATTGTTAACTCTATTAGTCTATATTCTGAACTCGCTAACCCAGAAGTGTGGTTTTAATAAAAGAAACACTGCCCAGAAAATATGGTATGAAGAAATAGCACTCTGACACATATGCTCTAAGTCAAAGAAATATCTGGAAAGCATGGTTATAATAAAATACTGTTGTGATATATCTGTGCAAAGGAGCATTAAAAAATTTGGATTTCATAATCATCTGCTCTCTGTAATTCAAAACAAAAGTATTTTTGTAGCTATCTGAAACAGTAGTCTTCTACCTATAAATTTCTCATAGTTTGGTTGAGAGCTTGTACTATATGCCAAGCAAGTCCACAGTGGCTTTACTCATACTTTAACTAAACTCCTAAAAATACAAGTTTATGACAAAAAAAACCCAAACCAAGACATCTACAACAGTGCTAACAAGTATTACTCTATCATCACATCACAGTTATCCTTTCTGGGGAGAGATGTGGAACAGACCCACTTGCTTCTTCTATAACATGGCTTTTCTCCCATCCTCTTCGAATTCTCCTCAGTTTCCTACTTACACATGGCAAAAGTAAAATGATCTTACCTAGAATTACAATGGAAGGCAGAACAAGGGCAAGAACAAAATTTGGTGGTGTATAAAATCTGTAATACTCTTCTTCAAAAGCTCTTTTCCATCCGTAAATCAGTACATGGAAAGTACTTATGAGCAGAGCAACGTATCCAAGTGTAGACTTTGAAAAAGAGAAAACAGGGAAAAAAGAAGAGGTAATAGTACTTGGTCCTTCATCCAACAGCTCTAACCCATTATTCTAACATTTCTATTAGACATCATGTTAAAATCTCTTACCTATATGCTATTTTAAATTAGCAATATGTGGCTTTGAAAAGTACAGACTGAACTAAACACTGATGTACAACATATCTCTGCTAGTATCTACAGGCCTTAGTCAAAGCTAAAATGAAGATGATTGCCCCAATTCTAACTAATGGAAGTCAACTTCAGGATTTGTATGTGACTAAGGAACAATCCCAGTGGTTATTGGAACAACATCAGTTGTGACTGGAAATTAAGTTCCCTGTTTCTTAACTATGAGGGTAGATCACTTCCAAGATTCATCATTATGGAACAATGCAATTCTGTTGGAAGACATCTGGGCCTAACACTCCAGATTTTTATCACTCGGAGAGGTACAGTTCGCTTCTTCCTCACAATGGGCAACATCCACTTGCATAATGGGAATATCTGGACTGCAGGACTTGGGCATACTGGCACAAGGCAATGATGCAGTTTATCATAAACAGGTAGTGCTGGATGAAACATGAAGTAGAAGGTTCCCACAGCACCCTGCAGAGGACCTCTTATCACGTAATCTAGAGCACGCCACAGAAGGTAGCGCTAATAGGAGTCATTCACTGTTTCTGTGAATCTGCCCTTTTAAGAACCCTATCATTGTATTGCCCTGCAGACTTGAGTTAAATGTGTCAACCTTGACTTTCCTAAACCATGGTAAAAAAAGACTACTATGCTTTGAATTCTGGTGTTGATCAAATGAAGAAAAACTCTCTTTGGCCAAAACTGATGTAGTGACTAATTTGGGAAACATCTGTAGAAAATCATCAAAACACAGAATGAATATTAAGAAAGGTAGCTGGCTACCAAGGGTTGGTTTAATTCCAGTAAACTGAGAGGAAAAGACAAATGCAGCCTAAGGGTCTATAATAGTTATTGAAAGAACTAATTCATTCTACTTCAAGATTAACCAGTTTCTAGGGAAAGGAGAATGTCTGAGCTAGTATCATTTGCAAGGATTCACAAATATAATGGTATAAAAAGGAAAATAATTTCTAGAGATTGGTACTGTATTTCTTAATTTGCCAATATTTATGCATTTTTTTTGCCAATGATTTCAGAGCCATATTGGTATGCTTTAGAAAAGCTGCACCCTTTTTCTGAAAAGAACAAATTGCTCCCAAAATATTCCATAAGAAACAGAACAATCAGAAAACCACTTGTGGATATGAAAATGGCACATGCAGTATCTGAACGGAAGTTCTGGTAAGAAATTTGGACAACAAACCATACTATCAAACCTGATGTTTGAATATGTTATTGCAGATTTTTGCTGGTATGACTGTCCTGAATTCATTGCTGTTACATCACTGCCAGCAGGGAAAAGGGCACAAGTGAATCATATCCCTCATTTCTTCATCAGACTTACTGATAAGAACTATAACAATTCTTAAAAAACAAACAGCAGGGAATTGTTATACAGACTCCTCCCAAATTAAAAAAAAAAAAATTTTAGTGTTTATTTAAATTCCATCTGCAAACTACAGTTTTGAGACATCTATGTATGTCTTTCTATCTAATGGTCAAAATGGAAGCTGAGAAGTACATCAGTACAGTTATCAGTACATCTTGAACTAACAGCACAAGAAAAACATACGATGCATCTCTATTAAGTTCTCTTTTTTGCCCCGTGGAAAGTTGCCATATGCTTCTTTGAAGTGTTGGCAGGGCATGTGCTAGTATGTACTGTACCATTCAACCACTCATCTAAAAATCTGACAACAAAGACACTCCTCGAGGAGCTTCCGTCAGCTACTGGTGGTATTTTCTTCTACCAGGCCCTTAATTGCCATATTTCTGTGCTGTACTTTTGACAGTAATAGCACCACTTAGCTAGAAAAAGGATGTCCTTCACAGAACTTAGCATTCCGCAGTCTTTGGTTTGTTCAGTCAGGGCAGATCTGCAGTAGAAAGTGCCATTAAGAGTATTTATCCCAGCTTGCAGCTACTGACAATGACTTTTCCATAAGTACAGGCAAGACTGGCTGCCTTTGCTACTTAAGTAAAACCCCACTGCAGGAGGCTGTGTCAGTACAAAACTTCTGTTTGTTATAAAGACTTGATTTTTCTGTATCTGTAAATGTTAAAGACAACACCAATGGCTGTACAGCAGTAAAATGAGGAAACTCAGAACTGACTGAAGCAGGGTTGGACAAAAAGACAGCAGCTAGTGCAGGAAAAGGCACTGTTGAGCAGCTGAACAGTAAAAATAAAATCAGTTGGTAGCAGTGGATCATAATACAAATCTTGGCCAGTGGTAGTGTCAGAAAGCCATATTCCAAAGCTGACTACCCCTATGGATGCTAACATGAAAGATGTTTCAATTATTGGGAAATGATGACTGTGCTGTGGGAGTTATTAATTGCTAGAAAGCAATCTGTTTAACACTGGAAAGGTGAGAGCGCTGCTATCACTGAGGTATCATAGAATCATACAATGGTCTGGTTGGAAAGGACCTTAAAGATCATCTAGTTCCAACCCCACTGCCATGGACAGGGACACCTTCCACCAGACCACGTTGCTCAAAGCCCCATCCAACCTGGCCTTGAACACTTTCAGGGACAGGGCATCCACAACTTCTCTGGGCAACCTGTTCCAGTGCCTCACCACCCTCATCATGAAGAATTTCTGCCTAATATCTCATCTAAATCTTCCCTGTTCCAGTTTAAAGCCATTGCCCCTTGTCCTATCACTACATGCCCTTGTCAAAAGTCCCTCCCCAACTTTCTTGTAGGCCCCCTTTAGGTACTGGAAGGCTGCTCTAAGGTCTCCCCGGAGCCTTCTCTTCTCCAGGCTGAACAACCCCAACTCTCTCAGCCTGTCTTCATAGGAGAGGTGCTCCAGCCCTCTGATCATCCTCGTAGCCCTCCTCTGGACTTGCTCCAACATGTCCATGTCCTTCTTGTGTGGGGGGACTCGGAGCTGAACATAATACTCGAGGTGGGGTACGTAAGGTTATTTCCTTCTGCACAAGCTTATGACTGGACTTTTCCTTCACTGGTAAATTCACACTGGTAAGTGAGTAGCAATATCAGTCGTAAGTCTTGGGAACTCTCTGCCTGGGCTCTAGGACGGCTGTTGGGAAAAGAGGAAGAACATCTTTGGTTGTTTTGCTTCCTTATCTTCCATAATACTGTATTTCCTGGAAGCTGAGTAAGAGATTAGCGCATTTCCTATAGACTCCCCAATCTTTTAGCTTTTCTCTAAGTCTTCCTGTTTTGCTTCTTTTCCTTCCTAAAGTCACTTTTTGATCCAATGTGGGAGATTCCTAGCCAAGGCCACTGATAAGCTGGACAAATTGGCATTGTTTGGGGCAAAAAAAAAAAAAAAGTTAGAGGAGTGGAAAAGAAGCAGGAGAAAAATCCCTAAAATGTTACCAGGAAGACGTACACATATAGAGACACAAATCTGCTGTAGGCAAAGCTGCTTCAGCAATTTCTACCTTCACAATGGTCGAGTAGTTCCAAGCAATTTATATATACAAAAGGTATTTTCCAAATCTGATGTTTATGCAAGGTATACTTCAGATTCCCCCAGTAACAGGATATTGCTAAACTTATAAACAGGCTGTAGCAATTCTGACTGGAATTTTACTCATAAACTTGCTAAATACTCATGTCTCATTCTTCTTTACCCTGGGGGAAAAGCACCCTATTCTTGTGAGAGAACCAAGTCAGGACAGCCCTTCCTCAAAGTGTGTGTGCAAGCAAAGTTTTTAGTACTACTGTCTCCAAAAAAACTCTAGGATTGTGCTAGCAGAGAAAAGGAATGTCTACAAAAAGATTAGCTTCCTACTACACAAATGGCAGATTTGCACTGATTTTTGTTAAGAAACATAAAGCTCAGCTTTCAAAGCCAGTCTGCTCTGTCCATTGCCATTTTGAGTGATGCACTTTGGACTTGAACCTTTGGACTGGAAAGCAAAAGCAGTAGTCATTTATGCTTACATTATATATTTGCACTTTAACTTCCTTCAGAAGACTGAAGGACCTGGTGCAGCACTGCTTGCAGACAACATTCTCCATTTCCATGTATTTTACGTGAACATTCAAGGACTGGCTTCAATAAATGTCTTTTTCTGTTTGCAGTGTGTTGGTTTAGGCTAGTTATTCTGCTCGCTCTGACAAAATACCAATTATTTTTTTATTTCTTGTCCATGTCTACCTTTGTTCCTTATCCAAATATGTTTAGAAGAGGAAAAGAAGAGTACTGAAGTGGCATTTAAGAAAACTGATGCATTAGTTTATCAGCCCCAGCTTCTTCCCTGCGTCTTTCCTCAGTAAGATTCAACTCTGGGTCATGTTAAGATGCCTGCAAAGTCTCATGCTAAGTTTCCATCAGCTAGGATCACCTACTGAGCAAACTCTTCATCGCTGTCTCATTCTGTGGCTCTTCCATCTGGATGTTATGAGTGTTTCTCTCTGAATCATGATGAAGTACTCAGGTATTTGTTCTGTACAGTGGTCAGCTCTGTACTGCAGCAACTCCAAGTTTTCTGTTGGTCTCTTAGCTCCTGGTAGGGCTGATGCAGTAACTTCCCTTTTGCATCTCTATTCAACCTTCTTATATCTCATTTCATCATGTTTATACTCTGAGGGAATGAGCAGAGCCTGAACTGGTTCTCCTCTTAAAGTCCTTTACCCTTGATCAAGTAGGCTAGAATTTTTGGGGTTGTTGACAAAAGTGTTGTGAAACCAGGCTAGGTAAAATGGAGGCATCTCCAAATAAGTGAGGATATCAAAGACAGTAATGATTTCTGGGCAGAAACATTCACAACCGGGGTTTCTTTACAGTATTAGGAAGACTGTGGTAGAGGTCTGTTTGAATCACTGAAGGTAGGGGAGGTGCTGCTCAGGGCTTGTACTACTGGAACAGGGCTAGAAAATAGTCTATATTGTATATGTTAATAAATTGTTAATCCTGAACTCAGATTTTCCTAGTAGCACTCAAGACTGAATATGTTTAGGTGCTAAAACCCTTCAGAAGTGGCCAGACCCTTATTTTGATGAAACTAAGATGAGCAAGCAATAGTATGTTGTTCTCAGTGGGAAGTGCCGAGGTGAGAAACTGTCTGAGTGTGCTAGCTAACTGATTTTTCATCTGTCAGATGCAAAACAAGTTCAGCAATTATTGTGGCAAATCATCTGAGATTCAGGACTAAAGCTAGAGACATGCTGCTTTTCCCAGATAAAAAAAAGCATCACTGAGATGATGGGCTAATAGTTTCACTGTTGGTCCCCCTGACTTAGAGAAGACTGAGAAAATTAAGTTCAAATTCACTTCATATTGCTCTTCAGTAGAAGAAAAACATAAAAGTATGATGATGTTTTATCTGTTCTGCTTGCATACTGGGTACAATTAAGCTTGTGCAGAAACGCAGACTCCTTTGACTTTATTGAAGAATCACTGAAAGTCTGTTTTCTGATTGAATAAAGCAAGAGGACTTTTTTGAAGGACAAGTAACTAAATGAAGAACAACTTATTTACATCCTCAGAAGTAATTAATGACAAAGTAAAGTACCTCTAATGATCATAACTTTAAGGAAATTTTTAGTAGTTCAATATTTTTTGTGATTAAAAATTGCAAATGATCATAATTAATTACCAATACCAGTTCTCTTCAACATGTAATGCAGTATCAACTGTAACACCTCCAGAGCAAACAACTTGTTCCAAATCAAATTCCTCAAAATACTGACAGATGATTCATTAAAGTTCATAATTATTTAAATTTGGAACTATTTTGACTTCATTTACGGTGGAAATAACTGCAGTAAACATGACACAATAAAAAAACCCCTTGTAGACACATCACTATGTGATTATTGTGTTGGTTTTGACTCAGTTACACAAGCCTGAAATTTGGAAATCTCAGTAAGGAAAAATAAGACACAAATGCTGGGTTTGTGGTTGGAAGTCATTACTGGATAAAGGCAACACTGCACTCAGGACTGAATACATATTTTTCCCTTTTGCGCTAATGTTTTACATCACCCAACAGCAGTACTATTGTCTCCGCACAGAGAACTCTGGATGGCAGGGATGTTGTAACAATATAAAATGGGTGTTTACTCCCTCTGAATACTCAAAACCATGAGCGAGAATAAACAGTTCTGTCAAGGGAACTCTAATTTGAAAAATTTTTCAGCAAGCTTTTTGTAGGCCTACCTGGAGTGTTCCACTAATGGAAACCCTAGCGGAAGGGAAGACATTACAGACAGAAGACCTCTGACAACTACAACCAAACAAGTGTTCCCCATCACTCCCTTTAAAATGTCTGTAAATTATGAAGCACAACGTAAGCCCTGAGCAGTAAAGTCAGTGTCTGTGTCCTGAAGGTAGGAATTTGTAAACAGTCAGAGGACCAAGAATTAGGCAATACTATTACCATGGCTATGTTGAAAAAATGTTAATCAGAAAAGACTGAGTTAAGACTACAGTACTGACTTCAAAGTCAGAGAACAAAACAGAACATAATAAAACCCAAAACTGCTTGTACACACTTAGGAAATTTATCACAAGACCGAATCCTAATAAAATTTCGTAACACTGATTGGTACTTAAAACTAATGGCAATTTTGTTTGGAAGCAAACATTAAGATGTTCATTAAAGCCTATATTTCTCAGTATTTTATGCTGGTTAGGTTTGCCTGTTGTAGATATTTCTCTGAGGAAGCAGGGCAGCAGAAGGCCAGGACCTGGAAAATCCTCTGCTTTTAATAAACGAAGCTTCATATTTTACTAATGGGTATTTTCAGTTAATGGGAATAATGCAGTTGAGAGCTGTATTAATTCCCACACAGTGGAGGTGAAGCAAAACTGAAACAATGACACCATGGCTGCCAGGGCTGTGCAATAAAAATCCTGCAGGACAAATTAAGTCTTCAATTTTAACAGCTCTGTGCATCTACATATAGTAGTATCTCATCAGTATCATTGCCTTTAGTGAGTTTGTCCAAATTTATCTAACTTGGAAATTCTAACAACAGAAAAGGAATAGATTAGTGCTCATTTGGTCTTAGCTATGTTGGTTATTTAAGACCAAGAACTGTAAAATGCAAATTCCTATTCTAACACTCATGAAGTGCTTAATGTGCGTTCACGGTAATATACCTGCTGACTAAGGATATGTTGTTTTTATTAACTTATCAGAGAGAGGGAAAAAAAAAGCCCTCATCATGTTGCAAAGTGCTTTTGTTCGTGATTGTGATCATGATCATCACCAAGGGATTCTTGCTAACAACAAAACCCCCTTATTTAAAAAGTAACACACCTGAATAAAACTGAACTCCCTCCAGTTTAAGGCACTGTTTACTGAAGGGATAGAAGTTACTGCCAGCAAAGAAAGCAATCCAAGACTCATTATTCCAAAGGAGATATACATTTCGATTCGCCACACTTCTTCCTCATTCCAAGAATTTTCAACATTTGCATGAACCTGATGAAAGAGCAGAAAGGAAGCACTTTATTTTACAGAATATTAAAAATATCAACATACGTTATTTTGCTGAGTAAAAGTCTACAGTGAAAGGACAATTATAAAATGGGGTCAAATATTTCAGAGGTTTCCTCATGTCTTGGAGAAAAACAACTATTTCCTTACTGCTAGTATTGGCTCTTGTTAGATTAAAAATATGTTAAACATGGAAACTTAGATGAGTTGTTAAAAGAAAATGTAACATTATATGCTATTTATAACAATTACATTATAAAAACAGATAAATCTGCGCATTGCTATACACTGTAGAAAAGTATCTGTGTTCTTCAGACCCTGGAAACTTAAAATCTATAATGGGTAAACCTGCAATTTGCTATTAGCTTGTTACATTTAGAAATAGTTTAGCATCATTTCCTGGTTTTGCTTCAGCTCCCTATGCTGAGTCCAAGTTATTTTGCCTCTTTCACTGTTGACATCAGATACACCCAAAATTGTTCTTTTTGGAGAGCTTTACCAGAAAAAAAGAAACAACTCATGTCTTTAACAATTAAGAGTCTTGCATATTCAATTATTTTTCCACTTGCAGGTGAACTATTGTGATATGGCATGTCTTGAGAGAGGTTCACTAGGAATATTAGCAAGTGAGAGTTTTACCGTATTACTAAACCCAAGATAATTTCTTAGTAAAAGTATCAGTGGGTCCTTTACTAATAGTAAGTGTGAACAATTACAGTTTCTTGCTGCCTTTTACAGTTTTGCTCTTCTTGCCTTTCTCTTGAGTTCAAATTTTCATGGTAGCCCTTTTAGAATTTGTAGACCCACTCCCCGTTAATTTGTTCTATTTGATTTGATTTCCTTAGTTTCCTTTCCTTTCTGTTCCATCACATCTCTCTTTCCTGTAGATTTTATGGGTTGAATGGCAATGCTGCTTTTCTGGCAGTGCTGCTTTTCTGCCACTTTGAAGGTGGTGATAAGCTACCTCACTGGCAAACAGGAGCGTCTGACCCTCTTCTAAAGGATGCCAGATTTGTCAGAGATTGTTTCAGGGTTATGCAAGACCAATTACTCCTGCCTGTAATAGATGATCTTCACAGAATTTTTCATGAACAAGATATCTTTACCACTGGTCCAAAATGTTACAAAGTAACAGCATTTTCATTTTATAAACAGAGATGTATCTGTAAGCATTATTACAGTATCTCCTCTTGTACTTTTCATGCTTATAAATGCACTTATGATATACATGCTTCCCCCATATGTTAAGTATACATAGAGAGGAACATAGCTCAGAAGTTTCCTGCTGTTGCTCTTACCCTGTCTACCCTACACTCTCCTTGTGTATTACTATCAGAGATTTAAGTAGGACACATCCTTGATTCCCCCACCACACAAATTTGACTGCAGCTTGACCCATGAGGTGAGCACAATGTTCAGATGTTTCTTTTAGTCTCCTTTCTCATTAGGCACTAGCTATGCATAAGATAACCCATAACATTCTCCACTGAAAACAGATTAAGAAAACATATATATTGTATTCATGAGCCATATGCATACAGCCAAGACAATTTTGGTTTACGGAACTAAAGATTGGCTTACCTGTTGATATGCCATATTGAGGAACAAGTATCGCTCTGATCTCCTCATAGGTAAGCAGAGGCTGTATGCCACATGCACTGTTGCAAAGAAAAAACTGAGCAGTCCAAGCTGCTTTCGACACTGGAGCCAGTTGTTGAGCCAAGGTGGAAATCGCTTATACTTAGTACTGTAGTAAAGCTGATAAGCAGCTGCAATAAGTCCTGATAAATACACTAGAGAAAGTAAAGTGATAGCAACAATTGGTAGAGTCTTGTTCACAATCTCAATGGGGATCTTGTAAAAGTCACTCTGCTGATTTCTCATGTATGGATGGATTACATCTCTGATGAAGGAATAGATGAAGAAAAACGTTGCCAGGCTAATGGCAATCACTACAGGCCCCTTCCACAGTGTGAACAGTTGCAGAGGTAAGTTTTCGATCTCCCTTGAAGATGACAATGCCCCCAAATCAATAGGAATAAAACTGAGCTGACGGGCAAGCTCAATAACTTGATGGCGAGCCTGAACGTTGTTACTGCATATATAGACCTGTTGGGAAATTCAAGTGAATTGTATGGAGTCAGAGAAAGAGACTCAAAGGCAAAAAGAAAAAGAAACCACAAAAAAACCTCCAGATCAAAACCACAGCACTACTGCTAAAGCAGTACACTGTTATCCCAGCTTGTATCACCAAGATGAGAATGAAAACAAAATTGACTGTTTCTTGGAGTTAATAATGAGCTGACTGTGGGATGCCCTGGTAATCTGCACACTGAACCTTCCCTCACTGAAATGTCCACAGGACTGGATTGAACTTGAAATAATGGCTAAAAGCATTTCAGAAAATCACGAGTCTCTCAAAAATACAGGAATCTTGAATGATGACCCTAAAATGGCTATAGCATAAACAGAATGCAAAGCAGAGAACTGTGTAATCTCTCCATGTATAACAATTTCGGCTTAACTTCACAATGGAGATTTCCATAAAAATTGAGTGTTTAACACAAAAGACAAAAACTGGTAGCCAAATAAGAGCTCCTTCTAAAGACCAGTTTGTGACATAGTTAAAGAAATACACTGCTACAAAGTCCTTTAAAGTTCCTTTTAAATTTAGAGTGGGCTATAGTTTGCCCAACACTGCTGATCCTCTGCATTAGAGCAAACACGATCTGTTTTGATGGAAGTTAATTACTTATAGTGCAGTGCTATCCTGAAAGGGGATAAAAATAGTACAGTGAGGTTATTTTTAAAATTATGCTAATCCTATATCAGTTGCATTCCATTTAAAATCTACCTGAATTGCCAGAAAACTCAAGTCTCCAGTAGTCACATTACACCAGTCATTTCTCATGTGTTTCTGAGAGTCCATAAAGCTGTGAAGGATTGGATTCTTGCATAGGCTTAAATCCATTGTATCACTTCAGCAAAGCATGAAAAACATAAAGCAGGATGGATTTGGGGAACGTACTGGGAAGGAATTTGAACATGATGTTCCCAAGCAGTCCTGGATCAAATGAATGATCACTTACAAACATATGTGCCGCCTCCTGTTTCCTCATATTTATGATCTTGGGGCATTCTAAAAGCTAGATAATTTCTTTCGTTCACTTTGCTGTTACGTCGAATACAAACATTTTTAGAACAGCTGACTCATGAGCCCTGGGACCAGGACCTCACATTTCTGTGCATCTCTTTCAATTGTTCACCCCATGTAAATCAATACTGAAACTAAAATATACTGGGAAAGACTGTCTCTATCCTTGTATAGAGCATAAGGATAAAAATTAACATATTTCCTACAGAAGACACTAAGACCCAATTCCTCTCCTCTGTCTGTAGTCATCTAAAGGTCAGCTGTCTAGTTTAAGACACATTTCTGTCTAGTATCCACATTTCCCCTGCAATCTTTAAAGATAAACAGCCATCTCAGGGGACAATTTGGACCACTTACTTACTCTATATGTCTTACAGTGGGATGAACTAGACTCTGAAAGTTTTATTGGCTACTAAAATTTAACTAAAGGCCCAATATTTTAGGTACATTAAGTCAGGCAGGATGAATTCCATGAGTTCTGGCTGCTTACATTCAGTTCCTGTCATTTTCATCTTACAAACAAGTTAAATTAATACAAATATAACATTTACCTGTCTGCTGGCATCCTTTGGTCCTAACTGCAGTGACCAAGCTGAAACGACATTGAATCCTTTGACAATCAGGGAATCTGGGAAAAGTGATGCCAAATACTCTGCATTGGAGTCCGGATATTGGTCTACTCTTGTATTATTGCTGACATCAATCAGAATTTTACCAGCGAGTAAATGTTTGAGGTCCCACAAAGAGGCATAATGTTCTCTGTGTATGGCTACAAAAATGATGTTTGCTTTTGCTACTGCATCTTCATGGTGAGTGACATCAACCACATGTGGAAAAAACTCAGCAGCAAGTTTAGGGTTTCTGCTTCCTACAACCACGTGGTACCCGCATCTGATAAGTCTAATTGCCAATGACTTAGCAAAATCTCCACTTCCAATGATGCCTATCGTGATTTTACTGGCATCCTTGATGCCATTGGCAACATTTGGTAGAAAAGTTTCATTGAGGTTCTTAGGACTTCCCATCATAGAGATTGATTCCATACTTCCAAGACACCAAACCTACAATGATTTCTTCTGAGGGAAAAAAAAAAGGAAAAGATAAAAGAGAAAGCAACAGAAGGAAAAATGCTTCATACCATTTTACGAGACATCAGAATCCATAAACACCTCTGGGAGCAAAATCTGTGGTTCTAAGTTTCCTGTTATACTTTCTCCTTAATAAAGTATGTGCTAATCAATTTTGCCTTGCCATGTGTGACTAATACAAGGAGAAACGTAAAATACTTCAAGCACTTCAATAATACAGCTATAGAAGTAAATGACATTTTTTCCATCTTCTATTCCCCATCTTCCACTGCCCTGGAATATTGGACCACAAGATAACCTTGCACTCTTGAAACTAACGGTAAATGGAATAATGAGAAGAAACATGTAGGG